TCCTTAGCATGCTTGCCCTGCATGCATAAGTACCTGAATTTAGCTCTCCTTCCACACATACAAAGCTGGGCACAACAGCACATCTCTGTAATCCCACTGCTGGGCGGCAGAGACAGCCGGGCAAACTGTGAACTCCAGGGTGAGAAGCTCGATCTCAGGAAATAAAGTGGGGGCCGCTGAAGAGATGGCTCAGTGGTTAAGAGCACTGGGGACTCTTCCAGAGGACTCTGATTTGATCCCCAGCACCCCTATGGTGACTAACAATCATCTGTAACTTCAGTTCTAGAGGGAGCTGATGCCCTCTTCTAGCCTCTGGGGGCACTGTACACATGTATGTGCATAGACATATAAATAGGCATAATACCTGCACACATGAAATAGGAAAAAAAAAATCCTAAAAAGGCTCTTCCTGTAAGACTTACAGTGTAAGTGGTCTGAGGTGACCTGTGAAATGGTCCAATACCCTCTCAACCAAGAAAACATTACAAAACCATGCAAATCAAGTAGTTAAAGCCTTCATGATAAGAATACCTGTGAAAACTGTCCAAGCAGGTCATCAGGGATATGCATATTTGAAAAGCCACCAAGTCTGAAAGGTGTCACTTTAAAGTAGCATTGTGTACCATTCTGTCGGTATGGTCCAACGGGGAGGCGTGCCGAGCACAGTGCCAAACACTGTGGTTGGGCATGATGGCCTGAAAAAGGTGATGAATTTTTGCTGCACATGCTTAAAACTGCAGAGTAATGTTGAACTTAGGTATTTGGATGTAGAGGCTTTGTCTTTGAACATGTCCAGGTAAACAAAGCCCCTAAGATGTAGCACTGAATTTCCAGAGCTCAGGGTCAGATTAGCCCATACAAGAGCTCCTGGGACAAAGTGTCCCTAAGCACAGAAGAAAAAGATAGCCCAGATGAAACAAAGATTTACAGTATAAATATAGCATAAAATAAACAGAAATCAAAGTTGTTTTTTTTAAGGTGGGGAGAGATAGTAGAAGACACTCATGTTAACCTCTGTGAATGAATCTTCTGAATAGCTTCAAGCTCAATTTTTCAGAAATATTTTCTAGGTTGTTTTCCTCCAAAACTTTTACAACATCTTGTCTTTTGGCTAAAAAAAAATCTACAGCAATTGTAAGCATCATACTAGACTATGCTATCCAGGAAACAAAAGAATAGCTCTTCTTCATTCTTTGTTTTTATTGATCAATTGCCCTGGAGATTTAAAATTAAATTTATTTATCAAGTTTTTGTTTGTTTTTGAGATAGTTTCTCTGTGTTGCCCTGACTGTCCTGGAACTTGCTCTGTAGACCAGGCTGGCCTCAGATTCACAGAGATCTGCCTGCCTCTGCCTCTGCCTCCTGAGTGCTGTGATTAAAGGCAAGTGCCACCTCTGCCTGGTTATTTATTTAGTTTTGACACAGGGTCTTTCTATATAGCTCTGGCTGTCTTTGCCCTTGGTTTTTAATAATTAGGAAGACTGGAGATCTGGCTCAGCAGTTGAGCGCATGTTGCTCTTGCAGAGGACCTGAGCTCATTTCCCAGCACCCACAGGTGGCTCTCAACCATCTGTAACTCCAGTTCCAGGGATCTGATGCCCTCTTCTGACCCAGTCAGGCACCAGGAATGTATGTGGTTGCACAAACACACATATTTGTGTGCACGTGTGTGTGTGTGTGTGTGTGTGAACATGTGGGCAAAATATTCATACACATAAAATTAGTCTTAAAAATAATTAGGTAGGACACAGTACAGTCAGTTAGCATGTAGACTCCATAATTGGTCTCCATTATTTTCTAGCTGTTATGGTTTTGGGAAAGTTAAAGTTAACATCTTCTGTGACTGTCTCCTCACGTATGGGGATTTTAATAGGCCTTATTTCATAAGGCTGTTAGGGGATTGAGTAAGCTTGAAAAAGCAGTCAGTACACTGCCTGGCCACTTGCTAGTGCTCTAGAACTGTTAGCTAGTGTTGCCAGCATATTTTCTCAGAAACACCTCCCTTCAAATTCTCATCATGTGAGATTCTTTTAGGCAATACCGAGAGTCTTCTTGGCATAGTTCTGCTGAATTTGCTATAGTCAACCATAAAACAAACATTAAATGAGGGGTCTATGCACTGAAGAATGAATAGCCTGTTCTTAAACTAATCACAATGTAGTGTAAATGGGTATGACAGAGAGACAATAAGCAAGTATACAGATTTCAGATGGGACATTGCTATGGAGAAGAATCCAGCAAGAAAGAGTATAAGTAATGAAAAGTTACTATCTAAAATGTGGACAGGTAAGACATCTATCTATCTATCTATCTATCTATCTATCTATCTATCTATCTATCTATCTATCTA